AATGTTCTCATATGTGGTGAAAATAATTGAACTAATGTTTGACATTGTGAATAATGTTCATTTGATAAATGTGTGCAAACAGTTGATAATGCATGTTGAAGAGATTTTTCACTTGAATCACGTTTAAGTGCAAAATGAATATAAGTTGAAACATAATCACATATACCACATGTTGCTGAATTTGCTTTTGTTAAATGAGATAAATTAACTTTCATTTGTTTTGTACATAAATTAAGTTTTCGACAAATTATTGATACATCAAATTCTTCTATAAGTAATGCAATTATTGGTGGACCATAATTATCAATTAATTCATGACATTGTTTTTGAATAGTTGATGGCATTTGATTACAAACTTTTTTTAAACTTTCTTCAATATCTTTTTCTGTTGATTGTTGATGAATATAATTTGAAAGAATATTCATTACATATTCACAAAGAATACAAGTAGAATTTGAATCATTTAAAATATTTATTTCATTATTTTCTTCAGATTTTGTTGGTAAAACTACAACTGATGTATGTGGTAAATGATTTTCTAATGTTTGTGGATCATGTTTAAGTGATTGAGTAAAAGCATTAATTGCTTCTTCACATGATTGTTGAAATATACCCATATTCTTACATAATGATGAAGCATTACAAAAACCAAGACGAGTACAAACTTGTTTTGAATCAATATCATCAATACATGAATCAATTCGTGTTTGAGTATCTTGCCAATATTTTTTACATTGATCTTTAGCTGGACAATAATCACATGAATGAATAAAACATGAAATCATTTTATCAGCTATATTTTTTGCACATTCTTTCTTTTGATCAATTCGATTGATACAACATTGACATCGATCACGACTACATTCATCTAAATATAACATTTAAAACAAAAAAACAGATGTTATTGCAATTTTTATGTGATTAAAATGTGAAACATGATGTAGCTGCTATTACTGATCAGATAGATATTCTTTTATTATATCTATCTTGGGATACATTTCTATACTCTCATTTTACTTTGAATTCTCTAGAAATATAATAAGAAAGTAGTTTATATATTGTAATGAGTCGTTATTAATATATATGATTTGTGATTGTCTATCAAAGACAACTATTATGATCTGTGAAAGAAGTGGTAATC